AGGTGGGCTGCCTGCCCCCGCGCTCCGCGGTTCAGTTGAGCGTGAGGTGAGCTGTTTGCCAGTGCACGCCCGGCAGGGCTGAGGGACGCTGCTCGGTTCAGCGGGAGGCCGGTCGCTCGCTTTCACGCGTCTGGCAGGCCTGCGGTACGCGGCTCGGGCAGGAGGGGAGCTGTTTGCCTGTGTGCGCACGCGCGCCCGGCAGGCCCTGGGAACACACAGGTCAACTGGGCAGGGCAGAAGTGGCTCAGGCAGGCACAGTCCGTGCCTGATGACGTCAGACAGTCCCCGCTTCTCTTTTTCTGCAGGTTTTTTTTGTTTTTCCTTTTCCCCTCCTAAACTAACTTCCCTCTGTCCACTGTATGCTCAGAAATCCCACCTTGGGGTAGGTGTCACCAGTGGCTCTCCCTGTTTGAGTCTCCCAGCCACTGGAGGCTCCGCACGAGCTGGTTCCCGCCCCATCCCCTCAAGCCCAAAGGAGCTGGGGCTGCAGTGTCGCAATTTTAAGAAGCCTGTAATTCCTTGCACAGTGATTTCTCAAAGAAGCGGGTCTAAGGCTCTGGCGCACTAAGATTCATGCAGGCTGTGAGACTGTGAATTCCTACCTGTGAGGTTTAACTCGTGAGTTGTCCCCCCCCCCGATCCCGGAGCCCCCACTCACCCGCACTGCCTGGCCGCCCTGGCAAACTGGAAGCCTGAGAACTAATTTTCTTGATGAGTTGTTTTTCATTTAATAGTTCTCTGTAAAGTTTACATTTCACCCATTTTTTATGTTGTCAGTTGAGCAAGATTCAGGTACTTCAGTGGGGCTTCTTGCTCTCGTAAAGATTTACAACCTCGCATACCCTGTACAGGGTCACTATGAGTCAGAACTGACTCCATGGCATACAGCAACAACGACAACTAAAGAGGAAGGGGGCCTATAGCGTTCCTGGGGGGAGGTGACAGGAATGTGAGAGTCTGAGACAGGGTGGGCTTACAGGGGTGACAATGTGAGGACCCTGGGAGCGCTCCCATGGCTCCTGTCCCCACACCCCCAGTGATGGACCTCAGGTTGCTCTAGCTCCCACCACCAATGTAACCCATTCGTATTCAGTTTTCTTTGCTGTTATGTGCTGGACCCAGTCAACTAGAACAGCGTGTCAGAGCAGCTACAGAGAACACGACATGTCTTTTGTCTTTTTATTATTCTTTTTTATTTATTGGTCCTACCAATTGACTCTTTACACAGGCCCACTATTCCTATGCACACTGGTTTTGGAGACATTCAAGTCCTAGGTTTGTGTCTCAAGAATCTTAATTAATTTTTCCTTTCTATTCCTTTTCTATGCTCTGCCTTGTTTTCTCGGAAGTTAAAGGCATCTGTTTATTTTTGTTTTTCTGTTTGTTTGCCTAGGTCTGTGTAAAGGTCTCTTGGCAGGAGAACATGCACATGACCTTAAAATAAAGACCAACATTCTGACACAAGGTTAATGCACAGAGAGAGATACAGTACTCAAGACAGCACTGCAAATAAATACCCAACACAACTGACGTGATCGCTAATGTAACAACATTTCTTATAAATCAATACTGTAACAGAAGGTAAAAACAGGAGTCCCTACAACTAGGAATAAGAAATGCTTATTCCAGGAAACAGAATTCTTGCCACGTATATAGTTATAATTTATGATCCCCCACCCCACCCTTTTTGGAGGAAGAAGGGCAGTTTTACTTTTTTCCTTCCTCCACAAGAACCAATTTAATAATTCCCATGAACCTCAGCAAGCAGAGCAGGGATGCAGACCAGCTGACCCAGCTTGCTAAGGCATATTAGTGATTTCTGTTTCCTGAAATTAACAGTGATTAGTCACACTAAGCAACAGAAGGTATGTCTCATTTTCACATTTGCAAAGAATACTAAGTAAGGTTAACCCTTGTCCACCACTGTGCGAAGCAGAGAAAGAGTACTTGTACTCCTAACACATCCCTGGCTCTTCAAAAACGTGTTGTTAATACAGCTTGCTTAGTTTGTTCCAGAAAAGTAAATTTGGTTCCCAAAGCACACTCAGTGTTTTGCATCTGCTTTCAGTTTTCTAAGCCCCTGAATTTGTAAGGATCTGCAGAGCAAAGAATCACTGACTAACAGAATTTTGTACAATTGCTATTCTCTTTCTCTTGACGGAGATGCCCAGGCAAAGACGTGAAAGCACACACTTGGCTCACACTTCTTGCTTCACACTGGCCAAGAAAATTACCAACTAGTTCCTCACTGTCCATTTTAGAGACTAAATCACTCTGGGACACCTCCCTTAAATGATGAAGGCACTACTGGCAATAATTACTAACAAAAAGGTGTTAAATAGAACACCCTAAAAATCGACTGTAGAATTTTCTAAGTGTACCATAATTTGGCACAACAACCAGAATAACAAAACAATTCCAATTTGGAATTTCACTGGTACGGTTGTATAAAATCCTGTTAATCAGTCATGCCTCACAATGTCCTAAAACCCAGAAAATTCTGGAATTTGCAAGTAATACTCTCATTCAATAATTTATTATGTTTTTTTTCAAGTGCCTATTAATGTTTTAACCAGAGCAAAGGTCAAGTTTTCTTCTTGTTACATTGAACTATTCCTAAGAATAATAATAATACAATATGAAAAACCCCAGAATCTGAATACCCTGGATTTCTTAATGAACATGGCATTTAAAATCCATAATTTCAAACATGACTCATAACGCTGTATAATCTAAAAGGCTGCTGACCCACAGGGTGGATCCATTAGCCGAACTCCTTGCTGGGTCCAAGCCCTCGCCTAAACAACCTAGAGCTACACACTGAAGGGAGTACACAGGTTTGCAACTTGCTGACAGTCCATCAACAGGTTGGGAGCTAAGAGAGCTACATGATCAGGAGCACACAGCACAGCATCTGAGAACCATCTCTACGTGAGGAGTGAGGAAGCAAGTATAATACCAAAGTATCAAAAGTGCACAGGTTTATCTGATAAAAAAGGGGTGTCTGTAACAAGAAGGGTCCCTTATGGTGTCTCTAGCAGGTGACCAGTTTGGAGCAGACTCGTCAGCACTTATAAAAAGGTCTTTCAAGCAGCAGCTTGCAGCATTTTCAACATTAAAGCTCTCATTCTTCCCATTACAAAACGGGGAATGCTGTTTTAAAAGAAAAATGCAGTGGCATATCCAAAGACATTTCTAAGTGGGATTTAGGTTGCCTTTCCTTCCTCCATGTGGGCGGCCTGCACTCTTCCAACCGCAACCACGAGAGGAGGAAAGGAGCCGAAAGGCGACAGGGCCAGGCAGCCGAGTCCTCTCAGCGACTACTCTACAGCTGGAAATGGGAGAAAACAAGATGCCATTAGAAACCCAGTCATTCATCACGTCTGCTCATCCCACATCTCGAAGTCCTGGTGGTGCTGTGAGCATGCGGGGAGAATTAGTGGCTGTCGGTTAGCTGTGGCCATGCCCTGCAGTGACACTGGCCTGAGGGCCGCATGAAGACCTTACAAGTACTGAGAGAAGCTGCTGCAGCAGAGGACAGAGCCCAGGGGGCAGAGGAGCATGCAGAGACACATGCAGGGAAGGCCGAGATAGAAAGTCACCCCCTCCAGTGAGTCCTGGTCGCCAAAGCGGGATGCCATGGCCATTCTTCCAGAGAGGCCCTCCAAGGCCCATGGTGAGGCCAGGCACATCAGCACTGAGGGCTACATTGGGGCTCACCCCTCCACCCTTCCAGGCTGTGGTGGATCCAGCCCAAGGTTCAACCTGTCTGCAGCAACTGCAGTTTGTGGTGGTAACCGAGACAAACCACAAGAAAAAGTGAAGAAGGTGTAGTAGTCTCGCATTGGGTAATGTGATGTCTCCTTCCTGAGAGGCACCCTCTGACTTCTGACAGAAGAGGACCCTCTCATCCAGCGGACCCCACAGGGAGATCAGGAAGAGAAGTATTGAGAGAAATTCTGCACCAGGAAGGTAAGCGCAGGATGACCAATCTAGTGCAGATAATGCCTCTGCTTAACTAATGGAAGAGCTGTAGGGTCCCATGGAGATTCTTCTTGTCTTATGGTCATGCACCCCCCGCATTGCACTAAATAAAGGAAGCTAAATGCCCATCCATGCATCCTGGACCTGATTCCATTCAAAGCCTTGAGAGTGGGGCTGTGGTGTGGGCACAGGCACTGCAGCCCTACCTAGATGTAGGCCGGAAGGGAGGGTGTGGTGCACAGCAGGAAAAACCACTGCTGTACAAAAGGACAGGGTTTCTCACTGGATACAAAGGCTCTGGCTAGGCACTTGGAAAGCTTTTGTCATTGGAACTATGGTCCCTGTTGGCTACCTTCCCACCTGCTTGCAGGCCCAGACAGGGCAGATCTCACGAGTGGCCAAGTTAGGTATCCTGGGCTGACAAATCTATTCATTCCTAAACGACACACATATGTTGGGGCTGGAGAGGTGCAGGGAGCACAGAGCAACTCTGACCTTGGGCTTAGGGTTTCATTCTGCAGTTCTGTCCTGAATGGGAGATGCCGTAGATGTGGCAGACTATAAAGCAGTTCCATAAACCGAGTCATGTGCAGAGTCATCTTGCTCCAAGTGGATGGGTAGAAGCCGGAGCGGAGGAGCAGGACAAATGCATGGCACATGTGTGCCAGGGCACGAGAGTTTCCTACGCTGCAGGTGCTGAGCAATGAGCAAAGAGACCACACCGGGACTTCTTCGCAGTAGGTTTTTCTCCATGGCACTCATACCACCAGGAAACCCCTTCTGTGTGTCTGTTTTACGCAGCTCTGCTCCCTCCTACCAAAAAGGGCAGCTGCTAATGAGGGGAGGAGTATCCTGCAAGTGATGAGATGACCCAGAACAGACACAGAACAGGCCCAAGAATCCAGTAGGCCAGTGTGCTGCACCCACGTAGATGTGGTCAGACATTCCCAGGAGTGAGTTAGTGGGGATGAAGCAGTGTGGAGAGTGTTAGCTGCAGCGTGCAGTACCCGCAGCCCTTAGTCACAGTAAATGTTATACTTTTCGCTGCAGAACACCTGAGTGGAGAGCCCAGAACACTCTGCCCTGTCATTGGCGCAGGCACACGTGTGACTTACACTCGGGGTGCTGGGCTTGGCCTTGGGGGCAGCCTTGGTGCGACCTCGCCGGGCCTGCTCGTGATCTAGCTCGAGGAGCTCCAGCCGCTGGGTCAGAGCCAGCTTCTGCTGGATGGCCATACGCAGCAACGAGTTGAGTGTCTTCTTCTCATCCTCAGCAGCTGCCAGCTGCCGCTGCATCTCATCCAGCTGTGTGATGTACTCGTCACACCTGCAGAGCAATTCAAGATTGTGTGAAGAAGGCCAGGTGGGTGGGGAAAAACCCAGGGGGCAGTGGCAGTGAGGTGGGCCTGCCTAAGTCACACAGGAAAAGCAGCAGCAACAAAGTCATTTCCCATGTGGGAGGCTGGGAGCTGCGGTGAGGGATGGGGGAGGATAATGGTCTCATTTCTTTCAGGCAAGGCTTTGTGAGTCTGATTGGGCAGGCCCAGTCCTCCACCCACCAGTCCTACAGTGTATGTATGAGAAGTGCTGCTCACAGCCCACCTTGGATCTCATCGATAAGCCTCTCCCACCACAGCTTTGCACCTAGTCTCCTGACTACATAGCTGGTCAGAGATTGCTGACTACATAGCATTATCAGCCCAGATAATGCAGACCCAAAAGGCTGGTTGGTTTTGTGTGTTATTGGGGTTAGGTGTGCCTGTGGCTAAGCCTTCCCTCCCACATGCCAGGTGTAGGACCCTCTGCAGCAGGACACTGACAAACAGGAATGCCCAGCCCTGACTCTGAGAGGAAGAAAGGCGTGAGCCTGGGCACAAATCTTGTCTAACCTCAGGGCTTCATTTTCTCATGTGCAAGAAGAAATCATCTAGAGCTGTCCTGAACCACAATGCAAGGGCTGCTCGCTACTGACCAGCAGAGGGTGCCATCACTCTTGAGAAGGTGAAATGGAGAAAGATTCCACAGAAAAAAAAAAAAAGCAAATCACTGCCAAAGACTCCATTCAGACTTACAGCAAATTTGTTTAAGGCACAGCAGAATTGCTCCTAGCAGACAATCTCATCTTTCTTCCATGGAGTTAGCTGGTAAGTTTGAACAACTGACCTTGTAACATCTATTTGTTGCTGCTGTTAAGTGGCATTGAGTCGGTTCCAACTCATGGTGGTGGTGGTTATGTGCCGTGGAGTCGGTTCCAATTTATAGTGACCCAGCACAGGGTTTGTGAGGCTTTAAATCTTTACAGGAGCAGAAAACCTCTTCTTTCTCCCAAGGAACAGCTGATAGTTTTGAACTGCTGACCTTGAGGTTAGCAGCCTGACTTGCAGTTATTTGTTATTGTGTGCCGCTGAGTCGGTTCCAACACATAATGACCCTTTAATGGGTTTCTGAGGAGTGTCTGGTGAGTTTGAAGCACCAACCCTATGGTTCAAATTGACCTTGCAGTCCATGCATTAATCCAGTGCTTAGCCCACTGTGCCACCCTGAATTAGGATCCTCCCCAGGAGGCACCCCAAAAGCAGCCTCCAACACCTGGGAATCTAGTCTGTGTATCAGGTTTCTGGTCTAGCCTTCCCTAAGGAGGGGTCAGACTGTGGGCAGGCCTACAGTCTCCATCCATCTACACTGGAGGAGCCTTCTCATAGCCCATCGTGGACCTCATCACTAAGCTCCCTACCTAGCATGTGGGAGGACTCCCACCCAGTCAGTCATGGGTCGTGTGCCTGCTTACTGCCCATTCTGGGCCCCATTACTAAGCACTCCTATGGTGGAGAAGGTCTTTTCCATCAGGGATGGAGATGCTGATTGAAATCACAAGCAACAGTGCAGAGAGTTGCTCCCTCCTTGTTACCCCTCACAGAGAAGTGAGCAGCAGTGGGCACGCAGGATGCAGCCAGCAGCTGCTCCACTAGGTCCTGACCACCCAGTATGGCTGGGTACAAGCTCACCTGGTGGCAAACATGGCACGCAGTGAGGAGAAGGTAGCGGCGTCCTCTTTGAGTGCCTTGAGCTCGTTCCGCAGCTTCATCATGGTCTCAGTCACCATTGCCTTCTCGTTCTCATACTTACTCTTCAGGTTGGCCAGGGCCACCTCGGCTGTCTGCAAGGACAAAGATGGCAGGTGGGCACACTGAGAAGCCATGCCAGGCCCCGCCCACCACACAACTGCTGGGAGTCACTCCTCAGGGTCAGCATGGGTCTGAACATGTGTGGTGGGACCTATGTGAATGTGAATGCAACATCCTTCTCCAGCACAGCTTCCTGCCCAGACCCTTGGTCACAATGTAGTTTGTTCCTGCAACCCTTCACAACATTCGACAATACTCTCCCCACATCATTAAGACAGAGCAGTAGACATAGGTTCTACAGGTGCCAGTACAGGACAACCACAAAGAGTGCTGTTCTGCTTAGGTGGAAGACCCACTCCCATCCTGGCTGGAGGTCCTGAGTACCTCCTGGGGGTTGTGGGCTCCCACAGATCAGGACTCCTGGATGGGAGAGCACACACTTTAGTTTCAGGGAGACTCGACCACGCAGAGCAGGTCAGGGAGGATGGAGATGGAGAAATCCCTCTCAGGCTAACCTCCTCTTAGGGGTCCAGGCAAGGTCCTTTGAGATTGGCGCCAAATTCCTGGAAGCCTCACAGAGCCCTGGGCTTAGAGCTCTGAAGATAGACCCTGTCCTACTCCTCCCCCATCCTCAGTCTCCCTGGATGCTCCTAACCCCCACCCTTCTGCATCCAGCCCACCCTCAGGCCATCTCCCAGACTGCCCCCATGCACCATCCCTCCAGGTCCCAGCCCCACTGACTCACCTGCTTATTGGCCTTGAGCACTGTCCGAAGTGTGGTGATCTGTTCACGCTTGGTGCTGAGCAGCGACTTGAGCTTCAGGATCTCCTCCATCAGTGCCTCCTTGTCCTTGTCCACAGCAGGGCCCAACTCCTGTGAGGCGATGCGCTGGCGAGACAACTCAGTGGTGCGGTCCACGGCTGCCTGGAGGTGCTTGATCTGGTCACGGATAATGGCGATCAAGTTGTAGATGTTCATGGGCTCCCGGCGTGGGTCACTTAGAGGTGAAGGCAGTGAGGAGCTGGGTGAGGGGCTGTTCTCCCCACTCCCACTCTCTGCTCTACCAAGTTCTGAGGCTAGCAGTCCCTTCGGCAGGAGGACAGGAGAGCGGTGGCCACAGCCCTCAGGGTTGGCATGGACAGTCCCACCCTGGCCTTCACGGTAGTAGTCCAGCATAACACGGTTGGGTGTTTCATTGTTGCACATGCATACGTGGTGGTAGAGGTTGGCCAGTTCTTCGCTAAAGGTCACTAGCTCATCCTGGGCCACGGTCAGGCTGCCCTGTGTCTCACCGGCCACATCGCTCACGTTCTTGAGTTCCTTCTCCAGCCGAGCCAGTAGGTCACGGTCTTGGCGGCTGGTCTTCTCCAGCAGGGTGAGCTTCTCCGTGAGTGCCTGGCCCTCGGCTTCATGACGGCCCTTCTCCTCAGCGTGCTGGGCCTCACTAGCCTCGTGCACACTACGTAGCACCTTTAGCTGCTCCCGGAGCTCGCTCACCTCAGTCATGGCCACATGGTACTTGCAGGCCAGGATCTCAGGCCCATTGATATCCACCTCATAGTAGTCGCCATCTTCGTGGCTGTCCCGGTCCTTTTCATTGTCTAAGGCGGTCTGTCTTTCCTTGCTGGCCTGTAGGCGCCGCAGAGCACTCAGGTTCTCTGTGAGCCGGCTCACCTTCTCCTGCTGCTCCGACAGGGCCCCATGCGCCTGCTCCAGCTGCTTTTGTGTGTCCTGTAGTGTGGCCAGCATGCTCACCTTCTCCCGTTCCATCTGCAGAGGCATGAGCACAGGGAAGTCAGTGGCTTGCAAAGGGCCTGTGCTGGCCCAGTGATGACCATTTCATCTGATGCCACCAATCAGCCATGGACCTTACAGGTTCCTTAACCAACCAGGCCTCCATCGGCTGCCAGGGAAACGAGATGTTGATAGAGTAACTCGTGTGGACTCTCAGAATCGTCTTATACCAGCACCAACCCACAAAACCATCCAGGAAGGAAGTTCTGTCCCCAACCCCACTTTGCATTTGAGGTAACTGAGGCTGAGATGCTAGATGACTTGCCCAAAGTTATGTGGGCAGAAGGTGGTGGGATTCAGAGCCCAGCCATGCAGCTCTTCAAAGCTAATGTGACGTCAGAACCACACTGAGAGACCCAGGTGTCCCTGTGCCACTGCCCACTACCAGTCTGTGCTCCAGAATCCTGGGATGCTGAGCTCCGAAGGCCACGTCCTAAGCCTAACGGGTGGGGAGTAGAGTCTACTGCCTAACATTTAGTTCCCTGAGCCCAGGGACTGCCCATCTATCTTATCCCTGGTTCCCTGAGGACATGTGATAGACATTTGTGGATTCAACATTAAAGGCCCATCTTCCTGGAGACAATTCATGAAGATCTCACATGTGCCAGCCCCATTGGCCTCTATCTGTAAAGTACACACAGGACTAGGTTTCTAGCATTTCAAAAGTGTCTCTGTGATTAACAAGGCTGGAGAGTCCTGCCTCTGCCTGTCCCCTCAGGACCTGCAGAGGTTTCATCTAAGCACAGTCCAAACATAACCCTTAATAATATGGGCATCATGGCAGTTGTGGGACACTGAATTATTTAATGTTTTTTCTAGTCATAGTCTTCGTAACTTCCACTAAACAATGTTTTTACCCTGGTGGATCTGAGTAAGAGACAACGAGATAGGATATTGAGCGGATGATATGATTTAGTTGTGAATGATTGTTAACAGGGCTAATTTGATTGTAGAAGCTTGGAACTCTTGTGTGGGTATAAAATGAGCCACCTCAGAAGCAGGGGTGGGGATCTCAGAGCAGAAGAGCCCATTGCTTTTGGCTGCGTCCTTAGGAATGGAGTTGCTGGGCTGTAAGGTAGGCACGGGTTCAGCTTACTGGCTACTACCCAGCCCTTTCCCAGAGAAGCTACACTGGCACTGCCTGAGAGTCTCCATCCTCACCATCAGCAAGTGGTATTGTCAATGTTTTAAATCCATGTGGAGTCTGGTGTAGTGAACTATTTAATATGTCTCTTCTAGCCATACTCTTTGTAACACCCACCAAATGACTTTTTCCTGTAGGGTCTGGGTAACAAAAGGTGGAGGACGATATGTTTCACCTGGGAGTGACTGTTAACAGACTAATTGTGATTGGTCAGTTTTGCCATCTGGCTAGGTATAAAATCAGCCATCTCAGAAGCAGAAAGGGGAACTCATTACAACCAATGAGATTCCAGTGCACTGAACGGTCTCAATCCAGAGACAGAAAGCTGTGACACTGGAATTGTCATAGTATCAGCAGCAGAACCAAGAACCAGAGCACGAGATAGAGTGGTGGCCTCCCAGACACTGGAGCAAATAAAGTTGACTGACTCTGGGCAGGTGGCTTGCTTGCAGAGTTGGGTGCCTCCAGGCACTTCATTGAGGGAGTCAGGTTCACTGACTCAAGATGCTACAGCTGAGAGCCTTCAGGCTTATAGAGGAGTGGTGTGCTCTGTGAGCAATTATCAGCAGCCCTAAGAGTCTGGGCCTAGAGAAGCCTGTCTATGAGCACAGCTGAGGGGAGGCTGTCCTGATTATAGAGAACCGTGTCCTGAATATTTCTAAACCTGAATTAGAACCTGTTAACTTTCTTAATAACAAACCCTATAACTTAGTAAGGTGTCTGACTTCTGTGTGTCCATTGCAATGAAATACTGAACCCAGCTGAGTAGAGGGTACTAGTGGAGGGATGGTTGGTGACACATTTTTTACAGTTGTACAAGAGAAAACCTCAATCCAGTCATCAGAACCACACTTCTCTGGGGAGCTTCTGTCTGTAACATGAGGTGCTGAATTTAGGGTAACAATGCAGAATTTAAAATGAATATAGGAAGAAGATAATTCAGGAAAGTGCAGACATGGGACAGAGCTAGAGGTGGGGAAACTGAACCAGAACCTTCCAAGTTCCAGGACTCTGACAAGGCTACCAACATGGTCAGCCCCAGCATGGCCAAACTTTACCTGCATCAGCTGCTGCTTCAGCTTTTGGATCTCAGAGATGTTGAGCTCACTGAGGAGGTCAGAGACCAGACTGGGTGAGGGTGGTAGGAGCCCATCTTTCCTGGGTGTGGAGGTCTTGTTGTCGAGTGGCAGCTTGGCCAAGCCATGCTCCAGGCCATTGACCAGGGCCTCGGTGTCGTTGTTAGGTTCTGTGGTGGCAGCAGTGGCATCATCGCTGAACTTGAGGCCATCCAAGGAGACATGCAGGTGGCTGGTGTAGAGGGAGTCATTGATGCTCATGTAGTGTGACAGCTCCTTGCGCAGGCTGTTCTTCTGCTCCCGTTCCGTCTTCAGTGTCTCCAGAGCCTCCTCCAGCTGCCGCTCTGAGATCTCCTTGAGCCGGATGGCATCCTCCAGTTGGCTATTTAGATATTCAGTCTCTTCCTCCAGCCGCTTAATCTCGTGCTTAAGGCCCTCAAATTCCACCTGAGAAAGGGAATTCAAAGAACTCACAAGTCAGCTAACCATTTTATGACTAATAAATTAGCAAAACATTTCAAAGTGTTCACTTCCACTGCTGGGCAGCAAAACCCAGCCCTGCTGGTTGTGGGGTGGGGCTGCAGCTCTAAGGGTAAGGGCCCACCCATAGGCGTCACCTTCATCATTGTAGGAAGGGCATGGGAGGGGTCTGCCTCAAGGGTTGCCGAGGGGAGGGAAGGGGGAAAGCATCTGTGAGGTGTGAGCAACATGAATATGCCAGACACCTGGCCCAGATCCAGGCAACGGAGGGGCCTGAGGACAAATGACATGTGGCTATGCTTTAAAATGATATCAATTTAATTTAGAAATATCAATAATCCAGAATTCCTTTAAAGAATATTAAATTATTTAATATTGTTAAGTGCCATTGAGTTGGTTCTGACCCATAGTGACCATAGGGTTTCCGAAGAGCAGCTGGTGAGCTTGAACCACCGACCTTTCAGTTCAAATTACTTTGCAGTCGGCTCATATACCCATGGCGCCAACCAGGGCTCCTGTTTAACATTAAACTCCTTAAATAGTTTAAAATTCATTCTTATGTGCTCACTATAACCATTCTAACTATATTTAAGTGGGAAGGCACTGAGATCCAGAAAGGCAATCAGAGTGACCAGGGAGCAATAGAAGCCACTTGCCTCTCTACTCTCAACCAAGATACACAACAGCCAGACCCCAGAGTTACTAATAGTAAACGGGCAACAGCAGCATCTAAAATTGTATTTATATGACATCACATTCCCAGGTGGACAGGAAAGCGACAAGGCAACAGACTGATGCTTGATTTGGCTGGGGAGTGTATCAGGGTTTGTGGATAATGATACAAGAAATAAAGAAATACACACAGAAAGTTAGGAAACAAGCCAACAAAAAGTAGCACTGGGTCGATCTCTGCAAATATCAGGCGGATGAAAAGGCGCCAGACGAGAAGAAAGGCTTGGTGATCTATTTTAGAAAACCGTACAAATGACAACAGTCTAATGCACAACCAATCACGGGGATGGTACAGGACTAGGCAAGACTGTGCCCTTACTGTGCATGGGATTGCCATGGCAGGCACTAACAAGTAAATAGGACAAACCAGACCCCAGGTCATAGTCAGAGATGACCCCGTCTTCTCTGACAGGTCCCCGAGATTGGGCTAGCAAGAGCCTCCACAGCAAGAAGCAGATAAGAGCCTCCCCGCCTCCCCTTGCTCCTCAAGGTCCACTCAGCTCCTCCACTAACTTCTCTGAGCATGCAGGCTACGCTAGGCTCAGAGAAGAGAAAGAGAACAGAGAGGGTGGGGTGGTCCAGGACTCCTGTGCCTAGAGGAGCCACAGAGCAGTTCAAAGGTTCCTGCTTCACAGCAGGGATGAAGTGATCCCAAAAAGGTCAAAAAGGCATTGAGGGCAGAGCCTGGAGGTCTAGTTTCTGGGGTGTTAGCATAATCTCTTATGGTTTGCTGGGACCACGGCCCCAGGATGGTCGAAGGTCAGCAACATAACTGCCAAAGGTCTTGCCCCTCAGGGGACCTGGAATCCAGTCTGCCAACCTGACCAGTCTGTGAGGTGAGACAAGGGAATGCATCTCCCCACACAGGAAGGCAGGAGGAGGTGAGGGGTGAGCTCCCCTGTGCATTCCTCACTCCCGAAGCCCCAGACTTGCCTGGTTCTGCCTGAGCACAGACACTTGCTTCTGCAGAGAGATGTTCTCCTCCTCTAGCTCCGAGTAATCCTGCAGCAGGCGGGCCTCCCGGAACTTGTATTCCTTGATGTCATCCCGCAGGCGGCCTCGCTGAATCTCCACATTCTGGTTAATCTGTAAGAGGCAGAAAGGAAGGCATGAGGATCCTCCATCTAGCACAGGGGGAGGTGAGGCCCTGAATGGCCAGGCATGCTTCATACAGTAGGCCAAACAGTCAGGACCCACGAGTCTGGACCCACAATGCCCAGTGTAGCTATCCTGTCAGGGAGGGAGAGCCCACAGGTAGTGCAATGGGGAGTAGGCAGCAGAGGGTCTGGAGCCAGACGGACCTTGGGTCCAATCTGCTCAGCTACTTGTCAGCTTGGGAACTCCAGCAAGTGACTCAAGCCTACTCTGAGGCCCCCAGTTTCTTCACCTGTAAAATGAGATTTAAAATAGTTCCTCCTCCTTCTTACACTTTAGGTGGGAATATAAAATGGTACAGCTGCTGTGGAAATCAGTTTTGTGGAACCTCAAAGGTTAACTGTAGAATTTCCATATGACTTAGCAATTCCACTCCTAGGTATATATCCAAGGAAGCTGAAAGTATGCTTGCACAGAAACTTGTAAACAAAGTTTCACAGCAGCCATTATTCAAAACAGGAAACATCCCAAATCCCATCAGTGAATGATGGACTAAAGACAATGTGGTAGATACACACAATGGAGTACTACTGTTCAGCCATAAACTGGCACACTGAGGGAATGTAACAAAGTCACAACCTTAAAAACATGCTGAAAGAATCCAGACACAAAAGGACAAATACTTATTTATAAGATTCCATATATTAAATGCCCAGAATAGGTAAATCCAGAGGTAAAAAATATGCGTGGCTGTGTAGGGCTGGGGGGGGAAGGAAATAGAGAGTGACTGGTAATGTGTACAAGGTTTCTTTTTGGAGTGAAGAAATGTCTGTAAATAGACTAAACACCTACTCAACTGTTCACTTTCAATGGGTATAGGCTGCACAGAATGTGATTCTTCTTAATAAAGTTGAGGAAGATGCAGTGCTATTAGCTTGGGAGGGGAGAGACTGGTGCAGGACCTGGAAAACACTGTTCTGGGGGAAAAAATGCCTACTGCTGCACCCTGTGCCAGAGTCTCAACCTCAGCGCTACAACACCGGTTGTTATAAGTGCACTCAAGTCAACTCAGACTCATAGAGACTCTGTTTCTGAGAGCACTAGTGGGTTTGAACTACTGACCTGGTGGTACTAGGGCTGGGTAATTCTTTTTGTGCACTTATGAACTTCCGTGACCAAATGCATCCCTCCAAAGTGTGACAAACAAGTGTCTCCAAATACTGCCAAGTGTCCCCTGAGGGCAAAAGCACTCTCTGGACAAACTCACCCATCCATCTCCGTTCCTGTCCCTTGCTCCCACTTTTCTGCAAAGTTCTAACTGGTTAAGACCACCATGCTGTCATTCTAAGCCCTCACAGTCCCCTCAACTTGAGGCAGTCTGTCCTCTGGGCTCCACAGATCTCTCAGTCCTTTTCTCCTAGGGCACTAGGCCTACCTATGATCACAGCTTATGTCCTCATCTGAATGGCATGTGCTTAGCAGACAAGAGTTCATGCAGCCAGGAGGCAGGCTTACAGAATGTGCCCTTTGGTTGTTTAAATGATTATATATTCCTGACAGTTTTTATGTACATAAAAAAATAAAAATAAGAATAAAACAGGGATAAAAGCAAATACTGTTAAAAAAAAAAAAGCAAATACTGTTGAATGATGATTCATGGAGGGGATTGTAATCATTGCAATGAAATGAAATATGAAAGGATGAGTGCAAAACCAATGTTCTCTCATGTAAACTATCACTCAACTCACAATAAAAGCTTTTAATAATAATAGAAGAGAACTCATGCAACACACAGCAAATAGTAATGTTGAATTGATGCTCTACAACCAATCACAGAACAGGGAGACTCATTCCATATGGCAGATATTGCTGATGAATGCAGTCCTCTCAGTAAGTGACCCAGAGAGTTTACACTACAGAAGTTACCATTGGAAAAAGGAAGGCTCACCGGGACATTGAAACTTCCATTACACAGACAAAATAAGCTATAATGCCAAATCATGTGGGTGACAATGTAAAGAAATATGACTTTGCTTCCATTTATCTGAAATCCCTCATAAGATTCTGCATAGAACTTCTGATCTGACCATTTCCCTTCTGGGGGACACCCCAGGGAAAACAGCCAAAAGATGACTAATAACTATGAGAGTTGATGAGTGTGTTCACAGCACCATCACTCATTCTCGGCACTTGGGTGGGTCAGCAAGCTGTAGACATGCACAAGCACAATCAAGGAGAAAATGGGGGTGGGGGAGAGGGTCTTGTGAAAAAGAAACACTCTGAGGTGGACCGAGAAAGATGAGGCCTGCATCCCTGCCAGGGTGCCCATATTCCAGGCTGGGCCTCTTCTAAGGGCAAGGAAACAAGAGGATCCCCGGGAGCTTGTGGTGTCAGCGACACATGCATAAGGCTTACAAGCCTGTGTGGGTTGGAGCACCACAGCGGCCAAAACATAACAGGAGCAGGGTACAATCAACAACTGTAAATTCCCAGGCCCTCCCAAGTTACCAAATCAGATTTCAAAGGAAGAGCCTAGGAATCCAATGTTTTCACCACGGGGAACTCTGAGGGCCCTGCCCCCAGTCCTTCCTGAGCACCTGTTCATAGGCTGTCACTCTGGGCCACAGTGTAGCCCAAGTCAGTCAGCAAACACCTTCTGCTGGAATACAGCCTCCCACCAGGTGCAGGAGAGAGGGGTGCTGGGTATTCATGCAGGTCAGGTCTGCTGAGATTTACCTGCAGAGTACAGGTGACAGACACAAGCCTCCTAGGGTCTTAGCAGAGGCAGTAGGTGCCAACCGGCACCACACTGATGCAGGTGGTAGGGGATAAGGATGGGAAGACTAGGATTGGCATCCATTCTCCCTCAGGAAGGCAGCAGGCTGGGCTGGGAAGCCATGGCCTATGCCTCAGTGGATTCTGAGATCTAACAGAGAACAGCAAATTGTGATGTTGGATTGACAAAACAGGACCAAATAAATAAGGATGACAGTGTCAGGGGGCCAAAAGGCAGGAGTGATGCTGTGCCTTGGTGCCCAAACACATGTGCCAGCTCAGAGTGCCCTGCTCTCCCTCCCGGGCAATCGTTACTCCTGCTGTGTTAGTCACACTGAGCAGCTAGATGGACTACACAGCAATGCTGTGGTGACAAACTACCGACCTGAACCTTTCTCTCCCCTCACCTCTTTCAGTTCCTGTGCCACCGAGGTGAGACGTTCATTCTCCGACTGGGTGTTGGTGAGGACGTTGCGCAGTTGCTTCAGTTCTGTCTGCAGCTCCAGCACCTTCCTTACATAGTACTGTTCCTTGGAGGCAGACTCCTGGATTAGACTCTCCTCCCGGCTCTCACCATCTGCTGCCACCTTCTTGTGGTTCGTATGAGCCTGTCCAAACGCCTGGGTTAGGAGACACAGACACTCATGAGAAAGCTGTCCCTGAGGCACTGAGCAGCCAACATCTAAACCAATTTCTGAGGTTCACAACCACACAGCAGTCCTCAGACTCCATGTCACACTAACGTCGAGCAACTGCATGGGCATAAAAGTCAAAGAAGGAGCAACTCAGTGACAGCCAGGGAAACAAGAGCATGGTTCCCTGGGGACTGGATGGGGTGGGCAGAGGACATCAGTAGGAGTAGGGTAGACTAGAGAAGGTTATGTGGGTATGGATACATAATCTTACATCTAGCCCAGTAAACTCCACTGGGTTGGATGTAAGATTAGAGTGTTTAACTGTTAGAAAAAAAAAAAATATGCAAAAGTGGATTCTGAGTAGCAACCTTTTGTTCTCAGTACTAAGTGCTGACTGCATCTCTTCCTATGAGGCACTGTCCAGTTCCTTGTTCTCCTTGAGGCAGCCACCATCATTCACAGGGTGACATCAGAGCCTGCTGGTGGCTCACTCCTACCTCAGTCATGTGATCATATCCATCTAACCCATCTGTGAGCCCAGCCCTGGGCTGGTGCTGAGTGGGAAGGCAGAGGCTGACACAGTGGGCCCAGCCTTGCACAGCCAAGCCTGTCTAACAGCTTCCAGTGCTCCAGGCTAAAGGACCGCCCTGATGCCAGGCCTACAGCCTGCCCTCTGCTTCAAGAAAACACTTGCTCCACCACCAGTTCTGAAGTGCTCAGCAAAAGTGCCCTTTCTCATGCCTGACGCTGCTGTCCACAATGCCTAACCAAGCCAGAAGCCATGAGACAGCTGTTCGGAGGACAGATGACCACCAGGGCCTGAGGTATATCCCATTCTCTTTTCCCCATTAATGGGGCAACTGAGGCTTCAAGAGTGTCCAGGCCCTTCACGAACACCCTTCAGACAGAGTCAGAACCTGCTTTAACCTTGCTCTCGCATTACAGGGTCCTGGTTCACAGAAGGAAAACAATGTCAAGAGACTTTGGAAGAAAACTGTCTTTTCCTTTTCACGAGAGAAATAGCAACACTTTCGTCTTCATCTTAACGATTTACTCTGTAATGTTAAATTTCAGAATTCAGGCCAAGAAAATAATGGGAGATAGTACAAATGTACACACAAAGATGTTTACTGAGCAGGACTACTTATTATATATAAATATGTATATATATATATATATATATATACACACACACACAAGAGCTCTGGTAGTGTAATGGTTACGAATCAGGCTGCGAACCGCAAGGTCAGCAGTTCGAAACTACCAGCTGCTCCACGGAAGAAAGATGAGGCTTTCTGCTCCCGTAAAGATCTACAGCCTCGGAAACCCTGTTCAGGGTCGCTATGGATCGGAAGCGACTCGATGGCACTTAACAACAATACACACACATGCACATATGTGTGTGTGTGTGTGGAGTCGGTTCGGGCTCACAGCAACCCTGTACAGGGTTTCTGAGGCTGTAAATCTATCTATCTATCTATCTATCTATCTATCTATCTATCTATCTATCTATCTATTTCTCCACCAAAAGAGAACTGGTTAAGTAAGCTAGGGTCTTGTTTAAACAACAGAGTCCTATGCAGCTCATGAAGTCCATGGTTTGCAGGGAACGTGGAACATGGATGGGGCAGATAAACTTCATGTCACAAAACGTGTTGTGGAGTCTCACTTCAAACAGCACACGTGTGCAGTAGGTGAAATAGTATTACTGAATGAAAAGCTCCTTGAAAAACAACAGCTTGGAAAATACAGGACTAAAAAGACACTGCAAGAAACACCAGTGCCTTCACAGTGCTGACGACATTTGAAGATGGGGGACGGGATAGGGGCGGTAGCTTCTAGAGGGCACCAGATCACCCCTCCCCTGGCGAAGCTCATCAGGTGAGGCAAGGAAGATCTTATGCGACCCACGTTTCTCTTCCTGTTCCAGGTGGGACTCGGCTTATGCTTGGCTGTCCCTCTAACCTGCTTTGTGAAAGATGCCAGAAAAACATTGATTTTGACTTTCTTTTCAAACCAAATTAGCTCAACTCTGTAATTCCTATTGTTGTTCTGGTCTCAATGGGAAGATCAAATTGCCAACTATCAAGTCCACACGGCACCTGTCCCATCATGGGCAGAATCCCCAGGCAGATGCGGGCAGGCCCAGTGCTGAGCCTAGTCATGGTCCAGGACACTCCTGGTCCTGAGCAGGCCTGTCTTAGTCTCTGCTCCAAGCACCTAGTCCCATGGTGAACGAGCAGGCAGGCAAGCCAAGAGTGATGAGGTGGGGGTCTGTGGTACTCAGCCTCCAAACAGTACCCATCCTGGCCAGCAGAGGCCAGCATCCAACACTCAAAAAGTAAGGAGCTGAGAGGGATCATAATAGAAGGTCCTGGATAGAGTGGGAGAAAAATTTGGGACAAAAGTCAAAATCATAAAAGACCAGGCTACTGGTTAGATAGAGAGTGATAGAATCCCTGAGTCTATGACCCTTGCCTACCCTTCAGATCTGAAAATGAACTTACCCCCATGGCTCGATTTTCAGCCAAACAATAAACAGGTCTATACGGAGTCCTGGTGTGGTGCCATAGGATAAGCACTCGAACTCTAGGTTGGTTTGAACTGCAAGGTCGGTGGTTCAACTCACCACTCTGCTCCTTGGAAACCCTGTAACAGGGTCACTAAGAGTTGGAACCGACTTGATGGCACAAAACAACAACAGCAACAATAGGGGGGAACAAGGAATCCTGGTAGCATGGTGGATTATGACCTGTGCTGCTAATCGCAAGGTAAGCAGTTTGAATCCACCAGTATCTCCTCTGCAGGAGAAAGATCCAGCTTTTGGCTCCTGTAAAAATTTACAGCCTGGCAAGCCTCTACTTGATGGCACTCAACAGCACAACAGGGGGACCACAACACTGGGGTGATACACACAGGCAGGAAGAGGGATCCAAGAAGTTTCATTGTTGGGATTGCAGTCAATGAGATAAACAAAATGTATGCGAACTGTTGAATAAAACACTGATCTGTTCTGTAAACCTTCACCCAATTCACAATAAACAGAAAGAAAGAAAAAGGAGTTGAACACAGTGATTTCACATGTAAACGGTGAGTCATAGGAGGCTCAACACCTAGAAGCTGTAAAACACAATTTCTGTTTAGGCCTGCCTGCCTCCACCCAGAGTCCTTGCCTCTGCCCACACCCCCAGCCTGGGGCCCACCAGAATACTGGATAGCTTTTCAAAATCATCTTAGATGGGGATTCTCTTCCCGTCAAAATGTGATAGTAATAGTAAATTGATTGACCTCCTATATAAAACGAAAAGACTGGAAAAACGGATTAAGCAATGGCTTTTGAGTTACTGGACACCAGGTAATAAAATTAGTGGCTCTTTGAGGTAGGAAACAATTGAGCTCCATGAGAGCCCCCACTCAGGCCTGGAATAAAGCTCCTGCCACAGTACAGAGAGAAGAGACTGAGGCAGAGCCTAGAAGATCAAGGAAGACAAGAGAGCACAGACTAGAAGCCTGTAAAGAAATCATCTGAGGCGGCCAAGAACCAACCAGAAGGTATGTGGGAACAATCCCTACCATGCACACAACAAACAGCTCCTATTCCCACCAACTGGAAGGAAAAACGTAACAGTTCACAAAGTAGTGGGAAGAGTAGTAGAAGTTTGACAAAATTAAATCTAGATTAAATGCAGTTCTGATTCCATCTAAAAAAGCCTAAAATCAACTGGAAAAAAAACCAGATTGTTTCCAAGTAATCCAATTACATCTCAGAACAAAGCTCAGCTAGAAATACAAAGATAGCCAGTTCCAAACAAAGTAAAATTCACAAAACCCAATATTCAATCACTAATTACTCAGTATGCAGAGAAACTAGAAAAACAATCAACAATATATAGGAAAAAAATCTAAAATAAAGAATGATACTGACAAAATTAGCAGACACAGACACAGTTGTTGTTTTTGGTGGTTATGTGCTGTGGAGTCGGTTCTGAATCATAGCGACCCTGTACAGGGTTTCCAAGGCTGTAAATCTTTACGAGAGTATCATCTTTCTCCTGCGGAACAGCTGGTAGTTTCGAACTGCTGAACTTGCAGTTCACAGCCCAATTCGTAACCACTACGCTACCAGAGCTCAGTTATAATAATGAAATTCTACTTGTTTAAGAAGCTAGCAGACTGAACATGTTAAGCAGAGGCATAGAGGTATTTTCAAAACCCCAAATCAAACTTCTAGAGATGAAGGTGTGGGATAATCTGGATGGGATTGACAGAACATTACATGATGTAGAAAGTTAGTGAAATAGATGATACAATAATATAGCCATCTAAAATAAAGCACAAAGAGAGAGAAAAAGACTTCAAATATGGACAGAACATCAGTGAGCTGTGGGGCAACTTCAAGGAGCCTAATACTTGGATAAATAGAGTCCCTGATGGGAGAGGGCAGAGGGAGAAAGAGGAGGATGGAAAAAGGATTTGAAGAAATAATGGCTAATATTTTCCAAAGCTGATGATAAGTAAAATTCACAAGAACTAGTAAATAAGCTATCCAAACCAAGGAAAATCATAAAATTGTTTAAAACCAGTGACGGACAAAATCCTATTAAGAAGCCAGAAAAAAAAGGTTACCTGTAAAGAAGCAAAGGTTAGTGTGACAGATTTCTTATCAGATATAAGCCAAAACATGGTAGCGCAACATCTTGAAAAACAAACAAAAAATATGTTAACATAGACCCATATATTAAAGTGAAATGAAGACATATAAAAGCTAAAAAATTCACATTAATAGATTTGAATGATAAGATATGTTAAAAGAAATCTTTCAGGCAGAAGAAAAATCGTAACAGATGGAAATCTGAATGTACAAGACAGAATAAAAAGCATTAGATATGGTATAGTAACTATATGGGTAAATATAAAACACTTGATTTTCTTATAACTAAATCGCTTTAAAAGATAATTAACAATTCAGATTCAATGCACTCCCT